CAACAAATAAAGCAACATCACTCAATAACGGCAGTACACATTTCTGCTAAACTTAACAAGATTACTTAGACTAATAGTGAGATGGTTAATAAACAAACAAATTCAATTAGATAATGCTAATGCAATTTAAAACGAACTTAAAATTTAAAAATTTTAACATTAGGCTTATGGGACTAAAGTAGCCATATGACAGCTTTTTGTTTACAAGAAAAATGTAAACAAGATTTGTGTTGCCAGCTGATTAGAAACAGCCAATGTTAGAAATCAGGATTTAATAAGCGATATATCGAACCGCATCGAAATCGATATTTAATCCGATAATACATCACAGGTTATATTATGTTGAATTACATCGACGTTGCAGTAAGTTAATTTACACACACTTTTAATAAAAAGTGATTTAAAGATTTAAAACACTTACTAATAAAACGCAGATTGAACACTGATCTAATTTAGGCATGCGGGGAAGGTAGGTTGGGGTTTATGAGTATTCGTGACTACATTAAGTGTTTTGAAGTAAGGTTAGATCAGGGAGGTAAAGTGTAGGTTATAGGTAGGTGATCGAGTTGTTTATTTGTGTTGCACCATATAATTTTTATCTTTTGGAATAGTTGGTTAAACGGGGGAACGATTTCAAAAATGTTTGCATATGGTCTTAACAAACCATCTACTATAATCAATAATTCTAGCTAATTACTACATAAAAACCAAATGAAAAGAACATTTGGATTTGGACCTTTGACCAAAGCAAAACTAACATATAATTTATGAAATGTGAAAAGTTGTATATCATTAAATACTATTCTGTAATATTAATAATTGTTCGGCAAATCCTCATTTTAATGGCTCGGCTGAAAATGGAATCTGCGTTTTGTGAAACAGTAATTTGGTAACAATTCAGTAATTTAAAATGTTGACAACAGTAGCCTATCCTATATAAATACTGTTATTTGATTGCCAAGCCACGGACTATACATACGTCCAGTTACAACCGTAATAAGTAAATAATTAATTACCTGTAGGCCTACTTATAGAAGTACACTTTTAACCATGGTATGGATAATCGTCTAGGCCTGTCCAGAAGTAGGCTACTAATTTCTAATTATATTATCTACATTTTATTTTTAAGGCATGACATCCCTTCTTGAAATACATGATTGATAATTCAGTTCATTTTAGTCTTTACATTTATTCTAGATGTTTTACATTTGAGTCTTACAATAAAATAGCCCTACATTTTTCGTAGGCCTATGTTTGATCTTTGACTATCAATACAACTAGACATTCCATCCCCATGTTAAATTTGTAACCAGCTTCTTCATCAAAATCTTTTGTATCCAATAGCCAATGGTATTATTAAGGACAGTATTAAAATGCCGTCTCTAAATCGTCCTAAATAATGGTAGAAACCTAAATTCCAGTTACATTACAATCACATCCTCCATCAAGAATACTTGGTATTAACAATCATAAATTATTTCTAGCAAAGTAAGCTGAGTTTAACCGATTGCAGGGGTTGAAATGAAGACCAATGTTTATGTTGCACAGTTGAATTTAAATATAAAATTTCCTCTCCAGTTGTAATACTTTAATACTCGTTTTTTTAATAGTTACTGTTTTTTTATACTTTAATATAGCCTACTTTAACCGATTGTAAGGGTGAAAGATGAAGTCCAATGTTTTTGTTGTAGGCTACAGTTGAATTTGAATGTTAAATTTCCTTTCTCTTTTTTATACTTTAATGCCCTTTTTGGATATTAATTCCAGATTCCAACTACTGTAATATTTTCCTGGTCAAAACTACCATAATGCACTTTTGGAAGAGGTATCTGAATAACAAGATGTAGTAAAAACAAATCTGAATTATTATAATTTTAATCAATAAAACCAGCATTAGTACATCTATTGACTTTTTTACATTTAGTTACTTATACAAATATCAAATCACGTTTGTTCCGCTCAACTGGCTTTCACCTGTCTGAAAGCAACCCTAGTTATTATTATTATTATTATTATTATTATTATTATTATTATTATTATTATTGTTGTTGTTATTATTAAATCCACAAATCCTTTTGAGCACGTACAATGCCTGTCTGGCCGAGGGGAAGTTTCCCTTCTGCTGGAAAACAGCTAGGCTTGTGCTCGTGGGGAAGGGGAAAGGAAACCCAGACCTATCCTCCTCTTACAGACCTCTCTGTATGTTGGACACTGTTGGGAAAGTCTTGGAAAAGTTGATCCGTTCCCGACTGAATTCAGCCATGGTTGCTGCATGAAATCTATCCCCTCGTCAGTACGGCTTCAGGAAGGGACGGTCAACGGTTGACGCTATTGAGGAGGTAAAGCGAGCCGTAATGAGAGCTGAGGAGTTTAACAACTATTCTCGACGAGTTGTGCTGCTTGTAACACTTGATGTGCGAAACGCATTTAATTCCGTGAGGTGGTGCGATATGCTGGACGCACTGGAGAACACTTTCCACGTCCCGGCATACCTCATGTGCATGATAGAGGACTACCTCCGGTACCGCCTCATCATTTACGACACTACAGAAGGCTCCAGGACGATGGATGTAACTTCTGGTGCTGCTCAAGGATCCATACTGGGCCCGGACCTCTGGAACGTCGCCTACGACAGCCTCTTGAGATCCGAGATGCCTGAGGAAACTGTCCTAGTTGGGTATGCAGATGACGTTGCGGCTTTAATAGCTGCACGTAGCATTGAGCTTGCCCAGCTGAAACTAAATCGAATCATGCGCACCATTAACGCATGGATGGCAGAACATGGTCTCTCGCTCGCTCTGAGCAAAACTGAGATTGTGATTCTGACTAAAACGAGGATTGACACCATCGTGCCTTTGATGGTGGGGAACGTTGAAGTCCAAACCACTCGTGCCGCAAAGTATCTTGGGGTCATGGTGGACAGCAAGCTCAGCTGGCGAGACCAGATCACCCGTACGAAGGACAAGGCCGCTAAAATGGTTTCTTCCCTTAGTCGGTTAATGGCCAATGTCGGAGGTCCGCGGTCCAGCCGCAGAAGGCTGTTGATGTCTGCGGTCCAGTCCGTGCTCCTGTACGGTGCGGAGGTCTGGGCAGACGCTCTCAATAAGGAGATATATAGGATGCGGCTCGACCGAGTGCAGCGTCAGGCAGCACTAAGGGTAGCATCTGCCTATCGAACAGTGTCCGAACCCGCCGTCCTGGTGGTTGCTGGAGTCATCCCCGTCAAACTTTTGGCGGCGGAGAGGAAAGCAATTTATCAGCGCCGTGGGGAGGACCAGGCAAGAATTGAGGAACGCACCCGGATCTTCCAGCTGTGGCAGGAGAGCTGGGATCAGGAAAAAAGGGGGCTCTGTACCAGGCGACTGATACAACAGGTCCAACCTTGGGTTAATCGGCGGTGCGGAGAGGTGAACTTCTACCTCACCCAATTTCTGACGGGTCACGGCTTTTTCCGGTCGTACTTGTTCAGGATGGGCAAAGCCGTGTCACCCGATTGCATATACTGCCCAGGCATTCCCGATGACGTGGAACACACTTTTTTCCACTGCCAGCATTGGGAAAGGCCCCGCCTAGAGGCTCAACAGTCGTAGGACTGCTGTCGGTGGACACGGTCATACCAATGACGATGGAGGGTGAGGACAATTGGACCTGTGTGTCACTTTACATCCAGGGTGTTCTCCGCGCCAAGAAGCTTGACCTCGACCGGGATGCGGTGTAGGTCAATGGGCTTAGGTCACATGTTGGCCTGACTTGAAGTAATGTGACAAACAATTCCAGGTCTGTGTCCAACAGAGTAGAGGGGGTTTTTAGTGAGTAGTCTGTGATCTCAGGAGTCTCACACTACAGGCTGGCTACCTGTGTGCGTAAAAGCATTTTCCCTCCTCACCCTAAAAAAAAATTGTTATTAATAATATTATTATTATTATTATTATTATTATTATTATTATAAAAAGTCTTTATTCAGCAAGCGCTTTTTAGATATGTACAATTATTCTACTTTTCAAAACAACTCTTTACATTAACCTACTTATACTATACAAGTATAAACTATCTATAAAAATAATCTAACATATAAAAACTATCTATAAAAACAATATATTGCAACAATATTAAAAATAATCTGAAAATAAACAATGTATGAAAATCCTTAATGTTTAATGTTTGTAAAAACAGACTCAAATTTCACCCAAATACTCTTTTAATCTTTTTTTAATACATTTGGAGTGTTGGTCCCCTTTACCTGATTAGGGAGAGCACTATACAAGGCCGGACCGAAGAATGAGAAGGGGCGCCTTCCCACCTCATGCCTGACTCTGCGAAAGTGTAACAACTCGTGCTGCGGTCAGAGATATCTCGGCGAGACAGAAGTCTAAATTATTCGTGTGATAGCATGAGTAGCCTAGCCAACATTGACAACAGCTTTGAACACAAAGCACGTTTCAATAGCCATTGGGAAAAATAGATGTTTTGACCATGCTTACTTTTTGTATCAATTCTTACTATGGAAAGTGTTCCACGAACGAGTTTGTACTATTGATTCACAATAGTTTACTAGTAACTATACAACCCTCTGATTGAAACTAAACATGCTTTGTAATGCATCGACCTTAAATGCTAAGTTAAATTCCAACCTCTTTTGGAGTAGTTTCAAAATCCCTTTCAATCGGATTTATATCTAGAACATGTAAAAGGCCCCATGTTAAAACCGTTTCAGGAGTAATCCCGGCTGCTTAGTCCATAATATGTTTCGTGGCTGGTTTGAATATCGTGCTTTATTCGCTCATAAAACTAAATGTTGGTAAAAATAAAAACTACTTATTTATCTTTATTTTACAACTATCATAAAAACAAAGATTTTAAATAATTAACATTATGTGTAGGTATTGTGTGGCCATATGAGTATTTACCATAATGACGTAAATTTTGACACAAATAGCTGCAGTGAAGAGGAATCTTACCATAAAAACACAGCCCTTCGCTTATCAATGTTTCCTTTTCAGTTTTCACGAAGCAAGAGGCAGAACGGGAGTGTGAGGGCGCGCCTCTCACAGTATTGGATGCAGCACCTCTTAGGAACGGTAAAGTGGAGCCTGTCAGAGAGGCCCCTCCGATACTGAAGACCAAGACAGACGACCACACACACTGTCGCACTCCTACCAGACCCAAGGCAGTCACCTTCCACAACGACCTGGTGACGGGTAAGCTACTCTTACACTTGGTCTATTCAACGTTCACTGTGCAGTACACAGAGGTGCCTGTAGAGAGTTTTTGCTTTATCAACAGCACTGGAAACATAATGATTATTGTCATACGGGTGCGTCGACTATCCAACTCTCCGACCGCATAAGCCGCTAAAGTAATTTTACTGATTGTATTATTGTGGATTGATATTTTTACTTATTGATTTAGATTGTCACTTTAATACAGTAATAATTACTGTAGCGAAAACGCGTGAGAAAAAAGTGAGGTATCACAAGCCCTAATTGTTCAGGAGGGCTAACGTCACAAACTGAAACGTATAATGTACAGCTTATTCATGACCAGTACTGCATGGTAAACGTGGGATGGAAGATGTAGCTTATGTCTTTAGGGGCTTTAGCTGTTAGTTTATTTGCAAAATTTACGGCTTTTCGTGTTTAGATATCTTTTAAATTACTATAAAAAAGCCTGATGTGTAATTGTATACAACCTCAATGTACTGTGATGTGGTAGACAGTCACGGTCTCGTGTTTTGTCTAGATGTGTTCTTAAGTTAAACATGTTGTACTTTACAGCCAATATACCTACGATAGTCATACACGGGAGCTTAAATCTCTAAACTTCAGCTCATTAAAAAGCTGTGCACATTTTAATTGAGCAGAACGAATGAAGCGAGCGAAGATCTTATACCCACTCCTGCTTTTGATTCACAGATACTAAACGGCTTAAGCGATCCGCGCGAAATTCACACGAAGCACAGTCATAGTAACTAACTATAGAAAGTAGAGATGGGCCGATACCAAAAATTGTCGATACCGATACCGATACCACCAAAGTACTCTCGATACCTATCGATACCGATACTTTCGATACCTATCTTTTTTGCACAGTTTCTTCCACTAATAATATTATAAACTGTTATACGATAAAAAAAACACAATATGTATGTGTATCAAACTTATATTTTGGTGTTAAAGGTTTATTATTAACTAGCTGTGTGCCCGTTCTACGCACAGGGATCTTATCGTAGCCAGTTGAAACCTTCTTATATTAAAAACAGCAGTTGATTTGAATATTTTCAGATATGCTGGCAAAACAATTATAGATAAACCTTCGCAAATACAGTATCTGACAGTTTCAAGCACAAGGCAAAACAAATGCTTCGCAATTAAATGTCACCCGGATCATGTTGGTCCATATGTTAAATCCAATGATTAAACTAAAAAAATGCTTTATAGATCTATGAGGCATAGCCCTAAGGTAGGCCTGAAAGTTACTTTCCACAATGGTTAAAAGTATATAAGGTACTACATTAACCTCACAATTTAACACTTTATTCGGGTTGACATTTTTCATTATCAAGATGCGCTTGTCCTTTCCGTGAAATACTGAGAAATAAAGGACATTAATGCGTTACCAACAGACATACACACACAAATCCAGAACTTAATTAGGGAATTTGCTACGCTTTAAGCATAACAAAGTACATACCTATAAAATTAGTATTTGAAATCTTTGTTAATGTCATCAAATTTTATCATAACAATTTATATTTGCTTGGACCGAAGATGACCCGTAATGCTGTCAAAATGACGGCTTACTTTATGAAATGAAGTAGGCCTACTATAGACAGTTTAGATTGGTAATTTATAATAAAAATTACCAAAATAGGCCACGAACTATTGATGCATAAACAACGTAAAGCGTTTAAACAATTCATGATGGTTTACTGAGTTTTACTAAAATGCGTTAGCCTATCGTTTTCTTAGCATAAACTAACATTTTGGAATCCAGATAGAAAAAGCAAAACTTATACAGTTAAATTGAATACGCCTCACCAACGATAGCTAATTTGTAAATTACAATGATGTTGTAGTACGTTCTAAGGTAAATCAGTACCAAAAACCAACGTTTACAGTTAAGAACTGTAGTACATCCGACCAACTGTATGCGTTAATCAAGTCCCGAGGATATTAATCTCTTGGTTTTGGATTTTCTCGTAAAAGGTTATTGGCAGTCAAAGTTATTTACCATTAATTGCTTCTTTTATAAACAACTTTTAATGTAAACTTATCGGTGTCAGTTTGAAAAAAAAAAAACCTTATACAAACAACTGTTTTGTTATTTAACAGATTACGTATTCTCTAAACAATGATTGGTATAGGCTATCCATTAACATTAGAAGGGAATGTGATAAAAATCACACAAATTTGGGTTTTTGGACGTTTGTAATTTTATTTCTTAAGTAGGTAGGCCGTGTATCTTAGGAAAAAGTACCGGCATCAAGGATCGTCGTCAAAATTGGCTAGGCGTAAGCACCCAAGAGATGGACTATTTGCCTATTGGCTGTATGGTCCAGCGATTGCATCACACGGTGAGTAGGAACTATTGACTATATATATAGTCAATTGTAGGAAAAGAAAGAGACACATTGGAAAATCGAGTTTAGCATCATCCGTAAACCTCTGTTACAATCACCTACTGCAGTTGTGATTTTTTACTTTACACTTTACACAACCGCCATTGAAGCGCCGTCACTGAGTGGAAATCTTGTTTCTAAGCTATTGGCGACGATCGTTATTAAATTTAAGTTTCCCACCCGTATACAACACTGATTCAAGGTCTTCTTTCTTGTTATCAAAACTCAAGAACAATTTCATACACTAAAGAATTTCTGGTTCCTGACCTGGATGATACCTAGTTATTAATTTCATTTACGGTTACACTATTACACTATATTATTGAACTTACGATTAATTTAATCCGTTATGTAAGAAAAACGTTTTTAATCTCACTTCGCTGAGATTCGCTTTCAAAATGTGATCGAAAATGGTTGCGGTATTTGTAAACAACATTTGTAAACATATCAGTGACAGCTAGAAAAAATAATCTTGATCCGAACAGCTGTTCGTTATTTCATAGATGATTATGTGATAAAAATTGGACGAAAACTTTAAAAAATCGCACAAAACTGCATTTTTGAACGTCCGTAATTTTATTTACAAAGTAGTGAGACCATATTTTAATGGCTAAAGACACTCTCACCAATCCAGTAAATACATTAAAACGACTTGGATCTTGATAGGTACTCTCGTTTTCCTGGAGAAGATTGCGTAAAATGCCATCTTGAGTGTTGCAGACAGACAGACAGACAGAAATTTAGATGAGACTTGTTTCGGCTTCCTTAATGTATAAAACGTAAAAATAACCTAAAAATTTATGATTCTGAGCAATGTACAGACAAAACTCTAATTTGATTTATATAGATTGCAAAAAACAATTGAAAAAATATGGAACTAAGTGTTTATTTTAAAATAGGCCTACTGTAAATGTTTGAATTTGACTAAAGCATGAGATTTAATAAAGTTTCCTCTAATTTATAAATAGGCTTATATAAGTATTTATCTGTCATTTTGTCAGTTTTTGTATTTATTTGAAAGTGCATCAATTGTCTTAGTTAACTCATTAAGCTATAAATTAAAAAAAATATATGTACATCTTGGCCTACAAATACTCTTGTAAGTTTTAACTTCCTATATAATGGCAGTTTCTCACTAGTTGTACAGTTATATACAGTTATAAACAGTTATATATCTTCAAACTATGAAAAAGTCACCAAGTCTAGCTGAAAACACATTCATAAATGAGGATATTTCTGAAATACAGAATAACTAATCAAATAACCTTTTTATTTTAAACACTTTTATTTCTCAACTTTTCTTCCTTGAAAATGTCCAAATTTTTTTTACTTATTTTTAATAAAGATTATCACTTATAATTTTTTAAAAGAAATCTACGTGTGAGCTATGAAGAGCAGACAAGAGACATACGTCACTGCCACAAAAACTATTCTCTTCTCTACTGTGAATGAATAAACTGAGTGTTTATTTAGTGTGAAGCCCCGCCCACCGTCTAACGGGACAAGGGCTAGGAAAAGAGAAAGTTTGCTGTTTGCTCTAAAGCCTGGTTCACATCTCACATGCCCTCCCTTACCCTCGGCGTCAGTCACTTGCAGATTTCCATTACACAAACGTTTCTGAGTGTTAATTATTTTAAAACATTGTAAATGTTTGAATTTGACTATGATGAGATCTAATAAAGTTTCCTCCAATTTATAAATAGGCTTAGGCCTAATAATCTAAGTTATTTGACAGTTTTTGTATTTATTTTTAAAAGCAATTGCAGTTATACTTTTAAAACAACTACATACATCTTGGCCTATAAATACTTTTTGTAAGGAGAGTTTTTTCTCTATAGTGAGTAAAAACGATCGTGGTCAAGGAATGACTGTGTTAAAACAGCACACTGTCAATTTTTACAAAAGTATTTTGACTGAAACCTAGTATTTTTAAAGAGATTGTAGAATAAGTCGACGTATGTGGAGAAAAGTATGGCAATAGATAAGTTTTACTTTTAGCCTACAATAAAGATTATGTTTTGGGACTAGAATCTCCAAAAGAGTGCTTTTATAAAACATGTCATAGTTTTATTTAGTAACAAAAGTGTTTGACTATGTTCCCGATGATACCAAGAGTAGTATAGGACACGTTCGGCAGAGTGGATTCACTGTGAACCGGCCTGCCTGGCCCTTATGCACGACGTCACTACAACTTCCGTGTAGGGGTGTCAAAATGGATCGGAACAATCGATGTTTTGAACCTGTCTGTAACTAACCTATTTTAGTTTTTTTTAATACTTTAATACTCATTATGCATAAACGAACACGTACTACATATCGGATCTCGAATCACGATAAAATATCGATACCCATCCCGCCCACAATAAGCAGTAAGCACATAAAACGATGTCTAAGCAATCGTCATTTGCTCCATTGAAACACGAAAGTCGATTGGCTGACATGGTAGTGCATTGTCGCTTCCTGGCCAATGAGAACTGTTGTTACATACTTTTATTGTCAACATTCACCATTCGTTATAACATTACAAAATCTACATGGACTAGGGCTTATGATATTTTTCAATAAATGCATTGTGTCATA